AAGTACAAAATATGTGCTGAACGGAACCGCCTACGGAAGATACGTTCTCATCAACCATCCACACTGCCATCTTCAGAGAGTTGTAAAATGCAACCTGTGAAGGTAGAACACCCGGAAGATTCGCCTTTCACCATGGGGGAGCTGTTATTTGCGCTACAAACAGCTCGGAGTAACACGACTCCCGGTCCCGACCACATTACCATCGTTGCGCTGCGCTTGTCTACGATCTTAAACAGAGTGGCCCAAATGTCCACATTAATGTAGAGTTTTTAATTTTATCCGCTCCTTCCTCTGCTACCGGCAGTTCCAGGTGATGGCGGGTGGCACTGCCGGGGCCCTCACTCCAAATTACACAGGGGTCCCTCAAGGTGTTGTCCTTTCCCTTAACATTATTTAACCTGCCAATGGCCGAATTTGCATGCGTTCCAACTTCAAGAGGTGGATGGGCTTGGGGTTTACTATTTATATCAAGATGGGACCTTCTGGGCCAAGACCCTTGACATTATAACTAATTTATAGATGAGGCAGGTGTGCAGCTATTTCTTGACAATACAACGTACATGATAATCGCGTGCCGCTCGGGATTCGCGCTTAATGTAGTAGCTCATTTAAACCTTTCGCTAATGAGGTGCCGCTCGAGCGACAGGAAATCAGTAAAATCCTAGGGCTCGCTATCGATCAGGACGGTGGGGCTCACAGCTGGCTCCGTTTGCTTAAAGCTCAATGGAAACACGGTTTGCATATCATCCAACGCACCACCACCAAAACTTGGGGGAGGGGGGGGGGGGGCACAGGGGAACATTCTAAAACAGCTAGCACGCACACTGTTGGTATTCAATGCAGTGTACGGCTACAACTATCTTGAACTCACCCCCTCCCAAAAAAACCCCAAAAAGAAGTTCTCAATCGGTCGGCCATGAGAACTATCACCGGTCTCCCGAATCTTACCCGAATCGAACGGCTTCACCAGGCCGCTCAAATTAACACGCGGAACCATGCATTGCCGAGCGTCACAGCGCCGCATCACAAAAAAACCTGACGTTTTCGTTGGGTGATTCGCGCTAGGGAGAAATCCCCGGGATTTCTCGCTCGTGTGAGTAGAACTTTCCGGAAAATCCCAGCAGACCTTGCAACGAGGGGAATTGTGGGGCTGTTGGCCTTCTTCAACGCTTGTCACAAACGGCCAAATAGCCTGTCAGCAGATAGCTGTCCTTGCCAGAGTACGCTCCTGCCTTGTGGATAGAGATCGCTTCCGTGTAGGAACCGTGTAGTCCTATTTGTAATGTTTTTATTAAGGTTTCTTCAGATGTAGCTTGTAGAGGCAATGGGTCAAATGGATGGAAAAAGCAGAACCTTTATTAAAAACACTTTCGCCGATCTGTAAATAAATAAAACTAATTAGACGTCCTGCAGAATTGGCCAGGACAGTACATTGAGGATCTGTAGGTAAAGACCGTGCGGGCAATCATATTGCTCAGCGTTTTTAGCCCCCTTTCAACGCTTTTTTTTTTTCTATTCAAACAAAATGCACAGACTCAACAACTTCTTTAACAAATGAACAAAAACATTCTACAATTGCTCTTCAGGCGCTTCCTGTTATTGCCGAGCCAATTCATAACTCAGCATGCAACGTGAAAAAAGGATGGTTCGGTTTGACTAAACGTTATGTAAATCTCCGCGGTGTGTGGTAGTGAAGGACTGGCTAGGACTAAACACACTCGATGGCCGTGAGGCAGCAATGCACGCAGGGAGGTCTCAAGATCGGGCGCCGTATCCGTGATGACCCAGTCCGTGATGCCCATATCCCGGGCGGCCGTATCCGGCCTGATCATACCCCGCCTGACCGTAGCCGCCATGGCCATATCCCTGATATCCGTAACCGGGACCGGTTTTGGTCCCGTACGCCGAAGGCGCGTAGGGTGCTCCGGCCGCTCCGACCGCACCGGGGCCCGTCGGTCCGACCACCACGGGGTTGGCGTTGAAAACGGCGTCGGCGCTGGCCCCGGCCTGGGTGCCTGGTTCGTTGGTCTCCACGGTGGCCCTGAAGCCGTTGGCGTCGGCCACGTAGTTGACGCGTCGGTACAGTCCGTTAGCGTCCGTGTAGCCGTACGAGCCGGTCTTGACGTTGTTGGCGTCGCCAGTCTCCTTGTGGAACAGCTTGGTGCCGTACTCGTCCACGTTGTCGTAGCCGAAACTGTACGGCTGTGGAGGCTGCAGCAGTCCGGAGGCAACGTGTTACAAGAGGCACTCGCGTGACGTCATCAGCAGCGCGAGCTGTGGATGACGTAGCTCATCGTCTGCCACGAACAACAGGATTGTAGCGGTGGAAAGAATCTGGCGAACGTTCGATGTCAGTACGCGCTCAACAGGAAAGCGCGCAACTATGGCCGGCCAGTGAATACTTACACCTTTCCAGAGCTTGTCACCCAGGCAAAAACTGCCGAGTCACTGGTCTGCAGTTGCTTGCGCGCTGTGTGACATTCAGCCCACTAGACAAAGATGGCGGCGCTCAGAGGGCGATTATTCTCAACATCCTGCGTAACAGGTTCGTTTCTTAAACAATTTGATCTATTGCCTTCTTGGTCGCTTTTTTTTATTCACAATACATTTGATGAATATTTTGTAGGGGCGGAAAAGAATAATTACTAGCAAAAAAAAAGTGTCCAAAAAAGTGCGAGTGGGATAAGGGCGAGGCAGTTTTCTTATAGCCAGCGGTATAGAATTTATAGGACTTGAGCACCCCCCCCCCCCCCCCACATCCCCCCCTCCAAAAAAAAAAAAAAAAAAAAATCCTCGCTACGCCACTGGTTTGGGGTATACTATATACCTTTACTAAATTCTCCAGGCAATATACTCTTTCTATAACAGGTGTGTTAGAAATGTGTAATCCATCTTGGCTGTCAAGTAATCCGCACCTGTAAAATGCCGGTGTATACCGTGTCTGCTTTTTCCGCTTTGACGACAACTTAATTTGTACGAAATCATTTTTGTCGGGTGCATGAGATGTCAGAATGAATTTTGTAACGTGTCAACATTCCTCCTACACTTTCTTTTCCGGGTCTTATCGCGTGACTTTCCGACGAGCCGGCCTCATTTGACACGCGTGTCCGTTTTCTTGTTTTGTTCGTTTCCTCGGCTCGACGGCACCCGTATCTGTCACAGTACATTATTCTTCGCTCTCCCGAGGGTCTTGGCGCAACCCGTGCCCATTGGGCCGACACTTGAGTGTATAGAAACTCAAGCGTCGTAATTTACTTACCGCGTTCAATCATTCTTTTGTATTCGCACAGAAAGTGTATAGTACCGTTTTGCAACACTGTGCCTCCAAGCGTTCAGATGTCCTAAATTGACGTAATTAAAAAAAAAGTTGCTTTACGTACGCGGTTCGTCTAAAGCAAAATGGATGATTGGGCTAGTTGGTGCATCGAAAGAAGAATAAACGCCTCAAAAGCTGGGACAGAGAACAAGAGGACACCGATCGCTAAAGCTCACCAGAGTATTAAAACCCCTTATCACGTATATATTCTAAAGGCTGATGCCTAAACTTGGCAGGATCTGAAACGGTATTCTGGAGGCAAGTGGTGTAAACAAATGTGTCGCGTTTCTCATGTATGTTCCGTCGGTACTTTCGTTGTTATCATTGTATTTCGGATTAGGGTTAGGCTATAGGTCAGAATAGGTACAGGTCAAACCTTAAGAAAGATTGACTCGTAAAAAAGTGTATACCTTGGTTTCCACGTTTGAGAACCGAAGTCTAACCTGCCTGGAAAGCCCTTCTTCTTTCCGACGAATGGTTTGGCGTATCAAATACCAATTGCCTCACCCCTTTCCCCAGCCAATCTGAAGAAGCAGAACGGTGTTCGCATTACACGCGAACAACCTTTAGAAACGCAATGATTAATTGAATTTTTTTTTTTTACTTTTTTGTAGAAGTGCAGTTTTGCACTACAAGAAGAAGAAAACTGGTGTTCGCATTACACGCGAACAAGCTTTAGAAACGCAATGATTAATTGAATTTTTTTTAAACTTTTTCGTAGAAGATGCAGTTGTGTACTACAAGAAATTCAGGAGCGTCTGCTCTCCCGAAGAGCACTTGAAAGGGGAGATCCAATAGCCTCAATCTACGGAGAACGCTCAGCGAATAACAAAGCTAATATATATATAAAAAAACAAAAAAAAACAAACAAAAAAAAAACTGCTTTTTAGCACTGAGCATAACGTTTCACTCTGCTCAGTGCCACAGCGCAGACCGTTTTTGTTTGGGGGTTTCTAAGCATTTACCACCAGCACCTTCATTCGCCGAGTTGCCTCCATGCGGAAAGCAAGTTCGTCTGCTGAGTCTCGCGCAGGAGTTGCGGTGACGTCAGAACGACGCCGAGCTCTGATTGGCTTTGATTGAAAGGATAGTGAGTAGACCTCAGTGCTCGAGGTCTACCCACAATTCATTTGCAATCGACCAATAAGAGCTCGGCGTTCTGACATCATGCCAACCCCCGTGCAAGAAGCAGACGAACTTACGCTCCACAGAGATTGCAGTGACTAGGGCCCTAAACTCGTCAAACACAGAGTTGGAGCCGAAAGTTCGTGGAGCGCGCCGATTGGACGTTGGCGAGAAAAGTGCGAAGTCATCGTCGTGGTAGGCCAATCGGTGCGCTCCGTCAACTTCGGCCCCAACTTTGTGTTTGACGAGTTTAGGCGCCCTAGCTCTGTCGAATGCATGCAAATGGAAATAAGCAGGGTCAACTTACATAGACGGGATCGGACCCGTACCCAGCTCCTGCGTACCCGCGGCCTCCGTACCCAGAGCCTCCGTACCCGGGGCCTCCGTAACCGGGGGCACCGTACCCGGCTGCTCCGTACGCGGCCTGGTTGAACCCGGGTCCGGAGAAGCGGTCTTCGGCCAAAGCACCAGAGAACAGGCACATCAACACCACCTGTAGCAGGACGTATGGGGTATAGCGTCCCCGCTGAGGTATAAATTCTTGCCGCCTTCGAAATTGTTCGGATCGTCGAACTAAAAAAAGGTTTACATTCTTTCGTTTGCTAAGAAAAGGGTGCTCCGACGACTTGCACTTATCGCTGCACTCATTCAACACAGCTATTTTGCTTTTATATGTTTCCAGTGGGGTGCTATCATACGTCAAGTCCTTCATAAGGTGGATCGCGTTTATAACAGTTTCAAACCATTTTAGTGGAGGTTGTTTTAGCGACTGTGTCAAACCATTATCGCCTGTATGCTTTTAACCGGGCGGTATACTGTTCAAAAGCCTCGAGCAATTATGTTTCACGTGAAATATTGGCATAGAAAACAAGTTTGCCGCACTAGCTTGCTGATACCCGACACTGGCAATTTCGGTGCTATCGTTTATTTACCGAGACTCATACTGCGACGTTCCGACAAGCATGCCTGGGTACATGCATACACGCTTATGACGGCCAATAGGATCGAGGCGCACCCGCGAGAGAGCCCTGTCACGTGGTTCATACGGTTAACAGAGGCAATTGTCTCTGTATGCGGTGCGTGTTGTACGTAAACTCTATGTATAAAAAGCACAGCACAGCACAAGAAAAACAAAAAAAAAAATATATTTCTGGGTATTTTTTTATTTTTTTTAGTTTTCTGGTTTTAATTTATGGGCGAATCGCAAAACATCTTTCAAAACTTTTAGTACGTGTGTGTTGCTAGTGAGACGATGCTCCCCTGGACCGAAAATTCACGATTGCATATTGGCGTTCCTGGGACCGGGCTAAATGGCTGCTTACCGAACTACGAGTCGAACATGACATATGACTGCACTCTATACACTAAGCTCTGTTTCCGAATGCTCGCTTTTCTCGAAGCTAAGGACGAGATGGCAACAGTCTCACTGAAGTTGAGGCAACCATCGTGCTTGTCATGCTCTTGTATGCAACGCTGCCTTAGAACACGTATGATGGTAAACGGCTGGACATTTGCGGTATCCCCCTAACATGAGAAATGTAAACAAACAACCTGCAAGACCAAAAATGAAGCCGCACAGTTTTTCAAGAAAGCCAAACTAGCTACACTGCGAAATACAGACTTGTAAGGAGGATTCCATTAGTTGGGCTCAGCGACGACAAAAGTAGTTCGCCGAAAACGAAGAACGTTTTGCGCAATAATCGGCGGCGGGAGGACCTTCGTCGCCTCTGGTGCATCGAGTCATCAAGCACAACTGTACGGCCTTGCTAATAGGTCTCGGATATCTTCCAGCGTTTTAGAAGATCTCGGCGCTATATCTTACCTGAGAGATCATCCTGAAGATGCGAATGGGAGTCGGCGCTGCGAGGTATCCGAAAAAGACTGACGTCCAAAGGGCAGTGATTTCTACGGAACGTGTGAGACCAGTGACAATCAAGTCGGCACGGACCAGCGTTTTATACCGAGCAGACTCCGGTGGGGGGGGGGGGGGGGGGGGGGGGAGACCGTCCCAGTTAACGCGCGGTGTCGTAACACCATACACTATTTGTCTTTCTCGCGTTTTCGTTTCCATGGCATGGTCGCTCATCACGAGTGGTTTGTTTGTCGTGGCGTTCGCGCTCACGATTTTCCCTCGTTGGACGCTTCCTCGTGTTCCCCTTGTGCTCGAACGGTTACGCACGTTGCGACGTCCGGCATGTGACACGGTACGCGCAGACGTAAATCGCCGCGCGGCAAGAACAAAAGAAACCGAGAAATGGAAGAGACACTGTCCTAACCGTGTTTTATTTAGCTCGTATCTCTTCATTTATTAAGGTATGATCAAATGCTTGCTTACTGTAAGCCACCTCAAATGTCTATGTAAAAAAAAAAAAAATGATGAAAACATGTTTTAGTTACCGCAGATTCGACTAGCTGCCAATATGATTTTGCCGTTCGGTCCAGCTGCGTCTTGTCAAGGCCATGCTTCCACGTCCCGCGTCAACGCGCCACCTACCCCAGCTGCGTTGCATGCAGCGTCGGGAATACTCATGCGACGTCTTTAATGAAAGCGTTTGATAATTTCCGCTTAACTTGTGGTTCGAGAAAGCGCTATGACTTTTTTCCTTGTCTGTATCGGCACCTTCAGTATTCGCCTTGGAGATTGCTAGAGATAAGGCCTGATACCGGTGCCGCGATGGGAGCTGTTGAACAGCTAACCTTTTTTGTGTATAATTTTTATTTAATTTTATTGAGGGGCTTTACAGTTTACCAATATGGAAGAAATCAAAATACAGATTACCGAAGAACACCAGAAAAGCATAAAAAACACACACACGGAGGTTTATATAGTTGTTGCGTATGGTAAAGAACAATATAATGCAACTAGGGGAATGAGTTCCATTCAGAAACTGGAAAGTGTAAATGAGAGAATTTGACGATGTTGTTCTGAAGAAACGAGTTGAAGTTTCCGTGGATTATTCTGCACCGGAAGAAATATATGGCCGATGGCTTGATATTATTTATATCTCTATGAAGGCGAATAATAGAACACTTTCGTGGCGGTCAATCATGACTACTAGTCAGGCACGTAGCCAGGATTTTGTTTCGGGGGGGGAGGGGGGGGGGGGCGCCCATGACAAAATGCTGTATGAGAGGGGGGGGGGGGAGAGGAGGTCCCAGTGAAATGGAAGATTTGGGGGGGGGGGGGGGGGGGGCGGGCCCCGTGGGCCTCCCCTCTGGCTACGTACCTGCTACTAGTGTATATTTTTATTAATTTAAAGAAAATATATACTTATTTAGGTATATTTTCGGAAGATGAAGCAAATCGCTCTCTTTGGATGATTTCTTAATTACCTATAAGGTATTACTGACATGGAATACAGATAAAATATACGTATTCAAGTGATGGCTGACTATGTGATCAACTTGGTTTCCCGTGTTGCCAGATATAAGCGACATCTAAGAAAACGCTAGGTTTTGTTAGCTGTTGCATGTATCTATATGGCCCCATGAACGGTTGGGAGTTAAATGGGTCAGAAGGTACTCACCATGTGATACATTTTCGGTAAACGCATCAAAAATGGTGCGTCTATAGTTAAACCAATTGAAAGTTCACTTGGTAAAGAAGATTTTAATTAATTTAGGAAACATTATTTACCGCTTGGCGCTTATGTCTCGACACATAAGAGGCCAAAATGTAGTCATCCGGGTTCTTTATCTTCTGATAAAGCACGCCTGGTTGACGTTTATCAATGTTAAGAAACGACAGAAAAAAAAAATAAATAAGGCCCCCACGTGCAAGTTGAGAAATGAATACATTGAAAATCATTGTTGTTTTTCTTCTTTTTTGGAGGTTCACGATGTGGAGTTTGCCCCAACAATGGATGTGATCCTGCAAGAAACGCTTCCAGCGCTGGAAACGCTGAGGCAAGCAGGAATTACGAGGAACATTGGGATCACCGGGTATCCGCTGCAGACACTACGGTAAGCTTTGCTTGGACAATTTGTTGTAAACATCGTTTTCTGCCTCAATTTAAAACAAATATCCTTTTCGAATTCTCTGTTAAAAACAACTACGACATCATAGGAAGCGATAAGAACGCAAGCCAGCTTTTGGTTTTCCAGACCCTGGGACTGCCTTTTCAGTGGTTTAGTGCTGCATGCAGTAAACCTATATCGTGCTCAAAAGCACATTGCTTATGACATTTCTCTCTTCTTGATTTGCTTCAGGGAGCTGATCGGAAGAAGTCCTGTCAAGATAGACATCGTTCTCAGTTACTGCCGCGGCACGCTGTTCGACCAAACTCTACGAGAACACATGCCCTTCTTTCAGGTAGCTCCAAGTGACTGCACACTTTACTCCATGATGTCCAAAAGTGACAACAGATTTTTAAAGCCTCTAACTATCGATTACAACCTGAAAAACCTCCCGAGAAAAAAAAAATTAAACATATAAGAGCAGGAAATCCAGGAAGCTCAGTTACAAGCTACCAATTTATTTCAAGCTTCAAGGTTATGAAAAGCTTTAGAGTTGCCATTTAAGAATGAGAAGTTACAACGTACGGAAAGCTTCAAAGTTACAAGTTACAAAATACACGTTACAAGTTGCAGGAAGCTTCAGAATGACAAAGCTGAGGTTCCCGAAGAACGTGCTCCTCAGCGAAACGTCAGCAGCCATTTCGAGGTTCCTTATAAGTTCCTGTACCTTTGTGATTTTTCTGAACACTGAAACCGACAGGAATAAAAACCAACTCAAGTCAGCACAGTGAGCTTTCGCTCCACGTGCCCCTGATCTGCTACGGGGTGTTATCCACCCGAGACCTATAGTGCTCTCATCTTGTGTGCGGGGTTACGACTCGCGACTGCACGCAGGGCCGGGGTGTCGGGGTGGCCAACGCGGCTCCGCTGGGCATGGGACTGCTGACACGTGGACCACCACCACGTTGGCACCCGGCCACCGACGAGCTCAAGGACGCATGCGCGAGGGCCTATGCCTTCTGCCAGGTATACTCAATCCTCCCGTGGACTCTGGAACGTATACTCTAAGGACTTTTACAGCTTGAGTGTGTAAGAAGGGTGTTCTACAGACTTACCTTTCAGCACCCTTGCTTCGATCAATACACCACCCTTCCTTTTGAAAGGCGCTGAAATGGCGTGAAAAAGTATGCTGTACGGTGAAGGGAGGCGGACATGTTTGAACGGTATCCGCAGCACTAACAACGACTTCCATCTTGGCGAAGGTTATTTTACCTGCTTGTTGTTCGTAAACTTTCCGCTTTAAAAAATATCCCTAGGGTGCCAGCTAAGATCACTAGCATTCTAATTTCACCGTGTTCGCTAGTACCCCAATAGTGCTGCTGTAACACCCTTGGGGTGTTACAGCAACACTACTTTGTTGTTGTAAAACGTTGTTTTGGGGCAACGTTTTACATTCCTTAAGATGTATATATTTTTAAAGTTGCGTTTTATTGGTTGTGGACCACACAAAAGGCCACGATCTGTTTGCGCAAAGATGAAGAGTGGCCGACCTGCTCGCAACATAGTGAAGAAAAAAAAAAAAAGAAGCTTTCACTGGGTTCAGTTTTAACCAAATCGTTGGCGTGACTCGGGCGCACTAGCATTATATAGCACGCTGTGCGTATGTTCACTTATTACTTGAGCGGGTAACGAGCGACCGTATTTAGATAGCGGACGGCACTGGATAGTGAGAATCCCAATCACAGCGCCTCCACAGGTGGACCAGGAGGTAACCCAACCCCCGCATAACGAATGCTTCTGCAATGAATTGCCCCTTTAAAGGTGCCGCACAATATGCGCTTGTTCAGCGGCGTTCAGCTCGGAACGGTGAAAATGCCATGCTGGGAGCCCAGCGTGCCTAGGGCTGTTTAAAGGGAGGTTGAAATAAAGTGTCAAATTTCTTGTCATCGCAAGCAGTCTGGAAGTAGGTTGATCTAGCACCTTGAGTCACCCATACGGCATTTTTCCCCCTTTGGCTGGCTCTCGGCTGTCCGAACGCATTTATACTGCACGTCGACTGCGAATAATGTCCCGACCCATACAACACGACATATTCCGCGCTGAGGGATGATATGTGTCAAAAAATTTCGAGAATCCAACTGAAGCCTGAGTGAGGAGAGAGAGAGCGAGAGAGAGGTGAGAATTTGAGCAAGCTCAATATTATGTTGAGAGTGGTGCATGAATGCAATGAGTGATTACACCATTGCGAGCCAACCTTTAAAGGGAAGCTGAAGAGGTTCTCGAAATAATGAGGTAGAGATAAAATCTAGCATATATTTATCCCATGAATTTTAATACCTAGAGCATTTTACCCCAACGTATCAATAAACCCGAGAAAGAAAAAAAAAATCCAACAGCTGAGTGTGACGTTCTATCCAGACGTTTCAAGCATAGAGTTGTTACAATAAACGCTAGAGGCTCAGCTGGCGCTAGTGTCTATGGGACTTCCGGTTGCAAATTGAAGCAGACAGCATGCAGTCTACTTTTCCAGTCTTCCTGTGTATTCCTATGGGAAAACGTGCGTGAATTTTGTCTCGTCGCCGGAAAACAACATTAATAACTTTTGTTCTTTCGGTTGTAACGGGTAGTATGTACCTTTATTAATATTGTGAAAGTGTAATTGCTTTAGTTACAGCATTTTTTTTTTTTACCAATGAACGAAGGCCCAAACCTCTGTTCCATGGCAGGTATGTAGAAACGAGCGACGATCCTAAGCAAAACAACGATCGAAAGGAATGTGGAGTGTGTTCAAAGTTAGCCAGCATTCCGTTGGTGCTTATATATTGCTAATATGCCTGTCCTCTCACTATATGAAAATGGCCTTCTCGTGCATCTCTACGAGCGGTTAAAAAAAAAGTCCGAAACGTAAAGAATAAAGTACGTGGGCTACGAAAGGTGTGTTTTCTTATTATTTCCTTTGTTGGGCAGTTTTTATCGCGCACCTGTCCTCTGTCTTTCCCCTATTTGCAAAGATTTGGAGCGTGCGGGTGATGATTTGAACTAAGAACAAGCATCTTCGCTGAGCAGAAAGAATAAAGCAGTACTTATTTATTGCAAATCGGACTATATTACGTGACTTTTAACTTGTTTTGATCGTCTGCAAGCACAAGGAGTTATTTACCCAGTGTTACTGCGTAGTTCTTGCCGTCTCTCTTGATTTTCCACATGTCGTTCGTTCGTTTGGCACGTATATCCCCCATGCTGGAAAGCGTCGACGCCGTGTTCGCGCTAACAGTGTCCGACAGTGCACATAAATGCACGTACGAAGCGGTTTTAACACCGTTTTTAATGCCGCGAATTTCAAATAAAAATGCTGTAACTGACCAATTATTTCGTCTGCGTGACTGAGAAATGTTCCAATGTGCCTAGTACGTACAAATTATTCGTGATATTTGCTCTTATAATCGAGCTCAGAGAGAAAATGCACTCGCTTTTTCCCATAGACATGCATTACCGGAAGTCAATTTCTGACTGCTTGCTGTCTGCTTCAATTTGCAACAGCACACTAGCGCCAGCTGAGCCTCTAGCGTTTATTGTAATAACTCTATGGTTTCAAGCGCCTTGCACGTGCCGCCTGTGAGGAAACGCGCGCAGCGCGTCTGAATGCTCGGGTAACGTTTTGCGGAAAGCGCGGAAATGTTGAGATCTCCGTATAATACATCTTGGGACACAGCGCGAACAACAGACGTGGACGAAGAAGAAACACACAGGACGAGCGCTGACTATCAGGGTTGTAAAGTACCCAGGTAAAAGTAACTGTAAATCGGTAACTAGATACGTTTGTTGTACCTGAGGTACAAACCTAGGTACTTTCATTTCTCAGTATCTGTATCTGTATCTTAGGTACATTTTCCAGTAACTTGTAACTAAGTGAAGTTACTTTTTACAGGTACTTTTCTATTCATTTCGTCAAAATCGTAGAAAATACAATATAACATATAACTGAAAATAAATTATAATTACAGTCTCAAAGCAATTTAACATCACGTAGTGTTTCTACGCAATAAATCGAGCTCAAATTTTGCACTTTACAAAACTAAAAATGCTACTCCTGAAGAAACTCCCTTCTGGTTTTTAAACACCCCCTACAAATACTACTTCCAGAGTTACAGTTATAATTACGTGCGGAAAATAGTATTGGGAGACCTTAGATATGTAAATGTTCATTTCACATAATTAAGCACAACAAAACTGGCAGGCTTCGTTGTCAAAACTTAATGCAGCAGTAGAAGGATACAAACATCAAGGGCAGATAATCTAAGTACTCGTACTCTGGCCGAACGGGGACTTCGAGCTCCTGATGTAGTCTGCCACTGATGGCTGGGCTGTTACTATTCTATGTTGTGGAGGCCCTGTGCTACATTCGGGTCTTTCCTTGGGTGCCGCGGCTTTCCGTTTTACCCCGTCGACATTAGTCTTGTTCTTGTCGACACTCTTTAGTGTTTCCTTGTGAGACCTCTTGAAAAAGCAAAGCATGACTAGTTAATACTTATTGCACCGTATCAGAACAGCTCAGCGGCGCAGGACACTAGTCCAACTAGGTTTCAGCATTAGCACTTGAGACGAAAACGATATTTCTGCCAGACGCCAAAGATGGTCAACCGCGGCGGAAAATTCCGGACCTGCGGGCATTAAAAAGGGAAAAAAGTGGTTGCTTCCAGTAAAACTAAAACGAAGACGATATCTAAATGACCAATGACAAGGCAGCTTACAGATAATTGTTGTGGGTCGGTTCATATTCTCGGAAGCCTAGTTTACCTAGCGCACCCGGACATCTTTGTAACGACTTCTTACCGTCGCTCCAGACGCCTTGAAAAGTGGACTTGCACCGTAATTTTGTATAGGTATGACCAAACCTTTTTTTGTTACCCATTTCTGACGAAGATCGGACTCCGGTTGAAACGTCGAAAATAAAGCTTCCGTTGTTCTACCGAAGGACCTCTATTTCGTCATATATACTATATAGGTGATGTCAGAGTGGCGAATGGGTCTTAACACGACGAAAACGAAGAGTGAGTTGACGCAGGGACAGGCTTTAAACAACGGTTTCGAGGGGTCCTGCAAAGTTCTAAGCCCCAGTTACCGAACATCCGCAGTTTAGAACAACGAGAAATCGGTAGCAGGCGTATTGTACGCACGAAAAGTTGCTACCCTGACGTGCGACGCAACGTCAATCTCTTGGCCGACTGACGGACGTAAGCGCACATAGTAGGGAGAATAACATACCTTACACAGTGATGGAAGTGCCATTTGACCTTTTGGAGCAGGCCTTGTAGCAGGCAAAATGTTGTTTTGGAGCAGGTAGTGGCCTTTTTGGAACTTGGTCTGGCATATGTTGGCATATTACTTGATAATGAAATAATGCTGCATTGCTATATACAGCCCATCTCTATTATTGGAACACAGCGTCTGTCGCCTTTTTAAGACATGAAATATAAAATTCAACAAAGTAAACACAAAAAAAAACATTTTTTTAAATAAAGTTTATTTGCTCGTCAGATAAAAAATACAATTAAATATGTCACACTGAGTTATGATGGTACAGGATATTTAGTTTTATCAGCCTGCACTTCTTTTAAGGTATCTGCAGCAGCATCTAACGACTCTCACTGTTGTGGAATGTTTTAGTTCAGATTAGAGTTGTTTTTTGGGCAGCAGCTTCCAATATTGCGGTATTTGATATTCGCTTCAAAAATTCCGATTCATTTTCAATGTGCTGGCGAAGTCACGATCGGATCACGGCGAGTTAACCCGTTGAGTGCGCTCCTTGGCCTGCACCGACGCGCTGCAGAGAAGCGACAGCCGCGGAGCAGACACCGTAGTCGCGCGAGTCGCGCAGTGCTTTGTGCTCCGAAAAGGACGGTGAGGCTTTACCGGCACTACATCCAGAGTTTGGTGCAACTCAACTATAGGGAGTATTCACTGGCGGCCATATCCGTGTGCGCTGCTGCTGAGCGCGTGCTGACGGCGAGCTTCCGCAGTCCTTTTGGAGCGTGCATTTAGCACCATCATGGTTGCCGGTCTTGGCAGGCTACTAATGTGAGCTCGTTCTGAACATACGCTCTAAACATCGCCCTCAAATATGGCGTCCAGTGAATACCTCCTATAGTTCGTTTCTGCTTCGGTGCGAGCGCAGCCGGAGCTACAAGCGCGCGCATGGAGCCCGTAACGGTGCCCACTCTGCACGAGCCCACGCGCGAGTCAGGACTCAGGAATGCACAGAGCATTGGGCTCGCGCTAGCTTTGACTTCGCTGGTAGCTAGGCACGGGAACAGGGCGAGGACAGGGCGGGCACATTGACTCCAATAAAGCATGTTTATCGAACTTGTTTTTGTGTACATCCCAGTATACAAAGGATTTACTTTTAATAATAATGTGACAAATTTGAGAAAAATACTTGACGTGAAAATAAAAAGTACCTTTGAAGTAACTGTACCGGTACCTAGGTACATTTTTAAGCGAGTAGCTAGATACGCACCTAGGTACATTTTCGTATGAGTAACTGTAACTGTATCTTAGGTACATTTTTGAAGTAACTTTTACAACCCTGCTGACTATCAACTGAATTATTTTAATAGGAATGATCGTTTTCATGTGTTCTCTTATTAAAATAATTCAGTTGAAAGTCAGCGCTCGTCCTGTCTGTTTCTTCTTCGTCCACGTCTGTTGTTCGCGCTGTGTCCCAAGATGAATTCCCACCAACTCGCCCAACTATCCATTCTTCCGTATAATACGTCACAATTCTGTCCTCCCACCGAAAGCAACGGGAAGGAGGGGCTTAAGCGCTATTTTGAAACCGCTGCTGTGGCTACTCGGTGCATCAATTTGAAATATATAATTTTGATATTCGATAATTCCGGAGGCCAAACAATAATAATAAAAAAAAAGATAGACTTTTTTTTCTCAAATACCGAATTGCTTTAGTTTCCATTTAAACGAGAACGCGTGCGAGGAAACAGCAGTCGGCAGTCTCGGGCTGCAGCTGTTCCACAGCTTCGCACCGCACGATATTCACTCGTTATGATGTCATGGCACGTGTCGTTCTCGTTACAGGAGTCCGGCGTCAGCCTCGAGAAACTCGGCCTCGGCTACAGCTTGTACAAATTCCCCGGAGTACACACAACGATCGTCGGCATGAACAGGTTAGGGAGAACGTGGCGGTCGAGTGCTGCATTGCAAAGCGAATGTGGGATCCCTGCAACGACCTCGCTTGCTCGTGTTGGTGTTGGTTGGTCGCACAGCAAGGCCGTGAGAGAGAGAGAGAGAGAGAGAGAGAGAATCGCCAAAAAGCGGTTGTTGGTTTGACGTCGTAGCGCGCGAGAGCAATGGTTTTGCACCGTTGGTTTGAGGGGGGGGGGGGGGGGGGGGGGTTGACATCATTTTCTTTTCCTGTTTACGCTCGGTAATTACGCCGTCAAACATTAGACTTCGTTGGAGATGAGATAAGAGGACATTAGGCGTTCTCTGGATGAGCTCGCACGGGCGACAGCACCAGAAAGTTTCAGCCGACCGGTGTTTGAATTTATTTCTTTAAGCATGGCGGTTTACGCAACCGTAATGACAGAGCCGGGAACATGCCATGAACGCACCGCGATGCCCCCATAGTATCCTAATCACAATATTTATTTTTGGCAGTTCTTATTTCTGGAAAGGAAGTTTCTATTTCATTGGAGGTACGTGTTCTGATCAGGCAATGGCGCTATGCTCAGATATTATATTTATATCTTTGATGAGTTTTTCGTAGAATTTTCACGGACAGTTCCATGGAAATGTGTGCGTTCCATATCAGCTAAGCGTTCAAAACAGATATGTATATGTATGTAACCCCAAAGATAAAAAAAGATTATTAAAGAATTACGGCCCTGCCATGTGGACATGCTAAAGTACTGAGCTTTTTTTCTTTCAGTCACTATCCTCCTTTTTATTGGTTTTCAATATTGTTTTGTGTGTATTCAAAGTTTAAAGGAAGTTATTCCGCTTTCCGAAATTTCATGTGACTTTCCTCGTGTTGTTTTTCAGCCCCGACACGCTTCAGAAGAACATCGCCAGCATGGAAGTTACTAAAGACGAGGAGGTGATGGCTGATCTCGTTCAACGCAAGTAATAACCCCCTTGCAGTTACATAAAAAAAAAAAAAAAGACATTCTCGAGACTTACACTTATGGCTACACGGACACTCTTTCCGCACATTTATTTTGAGTGCGCCCTTTTTGAACGTAAAATAGGGTGTTGTTGTATGGCGCACCCTTCATTTTTGAACGGTGTAAAGGGGTATTCACACGAGGGAGAAATCCGGGGGATTTCTTCACGGAGCGCGCATCACGAGACAAAAACGCCAGGCTTTTGCACATCGCAAAATCCTGGCGTTTTTTTCGCGGGATGCGCGCGCCGTGGAGAAATCCCCGGGATTTCGCCCTCGTGTGAACACCCCTGAAGTTATTTTTGAAAAAGGTCGTTTTGATTCTTATATTGTTTAGAGGGCGTCAGTTCCCGCATATACCAAGTCCTACATTACAAAACCGCCTATTCATCTCGGGGCAAGAGTAAACATGTGGACTGACTTTTCTCGCGGACTACACTGTGTGGACCATTGAAAGCCTTAAAATACGCGCAGATTCCGAAGGATTTTATTATAACTCGTTTTGAAGAGAGTCCTCGGATAAGGCTCCTCTTTTTCTCCGCTGGGCGAAGCTATCGCTTGTAACTCGCCGACAAGCGCCTTTTGTCGACCACTTCACTCGGAAGAAAATTCATCCCAAAAAGGGCGTGTCGCGATCTTTGAACACGCTTTTAACAAAGAAATAAGCTAAGCACAGTTGTGGTTTCAGGTTTGTTGGGACGCTTAGAGCGTCTAGATTGTGTTGTCACCAAAAAAAGGGACGATCTCAGTATCGACTTGGTGCTATGCCGTGAATTGAGGCAACCTGCTTTTTGAAGGAGTTTCGCCGTACTGACTCTCGCTTCAAACAGCTTTAGCGGAGGTTGTTTTAGCGACTGTGTCGAACAATTATTTCCCGTACCGGCGCTCTTTTACTTGGAGACACATTATTTGTACCTTTATGGTCACTGACACGATGAAGACGGCAGGAAAAAGTTCCAGTTGTCCAGCTGTTTCTAGCGCGAGCCTCTTACCATAGGAGTATTCACTGGCGACCATATAGCTGTGTGCGCGAATGCTGAGCGCGTGCTGATGGCGAGCTTCCACAGTTCTTTTGCAACGTGCATTCCGCACCATCAAGAGTGCCTGTCTTAGTAGCCTATTGATGTGAGCTCGTTCTGAGCATGCGCTCTAAACAGCACCCACAAATATAGCGGCGAGATGTTTTGGTGGCGCCCTCCTATGGTTCCCCCTTGTGACGTCATTACCTTGCGAACAACAAGTTCGATGGTGTTTGTAAATAGCACGGTGGAAGCCTGAAATCATTGCGCTCTCAAAGCAACACTGCCAACACCGTCGAAATTAAAGTTCTTTCATTCCTCTTATTTCCGTCGATGGTATACCCTTTCCGACGTCATAGTCAGCTTTTGGGCCAATCGTGGAAGGCCGACCACAGCGACGCTTTCGGTCGCGCACGTCGCCAGTACTGACAAAGCCTGGCACATCGCCACAAGAAGCGGACGCCGAAATGGAAAAGGTGGAGCGGCTGACAACGGATGGGAGGAGAGCCACGCGACTGGCGCCGCGCTGCGGCGAGACGCCGAAACAGACTTCTCCCGAGCGAACAAGTATGTTTTGAGTCGTCGCCGCTGCAAAAGCTGTGCGCTGACGTCCAGGTTCCCCGAGAAATGGCTCTTTGATGGTCTGTGCTACCAGATCCTCGCGCTCCAAATCTGCGACCGGGCACTCTATGGCTCCGTCGTTGAGCTGCCAGGCTTTATGAATATAGAGCAGGCTAGGCCTCGATAACGCTTTGACGTCTGGAGGGCCTCGAGCGTGCACGCTCGGCCAAAGCAGGGCGGAAGGCAACGAGCGCGTGCTGGAGGCAGGGCGTTCGAAAGAGGCGCCCTGTCGTTCTCACCCTGTCAGTGACTATAAATATGCAGGGCGTTTACGAGGAAATAAAACCGTGTTCTTCGACCCCCGGTAAATGACCTATGTAGGCATCGCAGAAAGCTCAAACTCCGTGAGAATGTGACACTCGCGGCTGGGAAAGAACGCGAAAGTTTGTGAGCACGACGTTATCTGGATCAAGAGATAATTGACAACGACGAAATTTCTGTACGAGCCTGGTCGTCCACCCAAACCTAATATCACCAAAACAAGAAATAACATTGTTAAGGTTAACATTAACATTAACACATGTAAAATTTATATCAGTGCGGGGGAAAAAAAACGCTTGTCGACAAGAAAAATAATGTTTTTTTTTTCTTTCTGAAAAGTTTTTTTTTTTTTTCTACTGACATAGATGCTACCGGAACCACAATGTCCACTACGTGAAATATTGACGAGAACAAAGCGATGCACTTGTATCCTTCGTAATCGGGGAGGTAATAAGCTTGGAATGAGTATTTTTGAATTGTCGAGTATATACTTAAGGAAGTGAAGCAGACACCAAGGTCATAATTTTTCTCTCGTCCGTGATTCATTGCTTCCGTATTTTCTTGTTCTGTGCAATTTAAGAACTCCACGTGGTGCTTGTGGCTGGGAAACACATATCCCTAGGGTGCTCTAAGATCGCCGGCTTCCTATAAGGGTTCTGTTGTAATACCCTTAGGATGTTAGCTCTGGGTCAAGCTGGTTTAAACCCTTAGGAGCGTAAACAATTTTTAGTGTGTAGCAGTATAGTACTGCATTTGATAAATTTCACATCTACTGCGGAAACATCAGACACCAGTCCGAGTGGATTGTTGCATGGTTATCAGAAAATGGTTTGATTTCGGCGGTTGACGCTTAGTGTGCCTAATTTTGCGAAGAAGTATTTTGGCGGATGAAAGCGAAGAGACGTACGGTGAATAATGAACTGAAAATAGAGGTTTAATTGGCGAGCTGGTGTCAGAAGCAAAAGGAAGAACAAACGCCGTGAATACGTCAGCGAGCGAGAAACAGCTAGCGCGAGAGCGAGTAGAGAGTTTTAGTAGATCGTATACGCTGCCAAGAGCGGACCCAGCAAGCGCGTTTTAAGCCCATGCTTCAAAATGATGGCACGAGCTCCCGCTAGCAAAGCGTAGTTCTAGTAAACGGTATAAAAAAAACTCCCTAGTGAGTCGGCAAGACATCGCTCGGCTCCTTATATTCTACACTCCGTCTCTCAAACGTTCGACCTAGAAAGTTCGAAAGTGAACTAGGGCGAGAATGACTGGGCAAGATCATTCTGGCCTCCTTATTTTTTACACTTGGGGTAAACATAAACACGGATGTTCTAAATTTACGGAGAGGCATTCCTTCTCGGTCATGCACGCGGCAATATTAACCCCAAAATACCGAGCAAAAAAAAGAGAAGAAAAAGCACCGTACAGTAAGCACCCTACTGCAAGCGAAAAGCACGAATTTTAGAAATATATGTTTGAATCGCCTCCTGTGTCCATTTAAACGTTTTATTATTGTCTCTTAAATATTTGATTTCATCAGCTTCTCATTTTTCATTGACGCTTACGATTAGGTTTTCATCTTTTCTTAGGTTTTTCAACAGCAAACAGCCGCGCGATTGCTTCGTTACGACGAAACACATAAAAATATTTAAAAAAAAAACTTCAAAATAACGGCGCCTAAGAATAAATAACAAAACAAAAGTTGCGTGAGCAGGGGTCGCTTTTATATTCTTAAAAATACAACTGAATCGCACAGAAAAAAAATAAAAGCCTGATTCTTGGCCAAGATATGAAGTCGGGACATGAGTTGTGCAATCCTTGTTTTTGTGAAAGCTTGCAGCGGTCTAACCTGTTTGTTGCGTTCTGTTTAGGTTCTTCCAACCCCTCTCGATTCACCATTGGGAAGAAAGGGAGCTTGAGAAGGTCAGGAGAAAACTGGCGCAGCAATGAACTTTTTCGTTCCAGAGACAACGCAACGGACGGCGAAAGACGAAAATAAATAACGTTTAAGTGATCTCTTGTACAGCATTATTCGTGTCGTTTTCATTCTTTTGTTTCCTAGGTATACGTGAGATCGGGGGCGGATGCAGATGTTTACCAGAAAGGGGCATGAGCCAGATGAATCAGTTGATTTTATATACTGCCAGGGACGCTTACATTGGCGAGGGACGCTTTGAGTACGATGACGCGTCATTACGATCTTGGCCCGGCTGGTTCAGAATGATCCTTTCAAAACTTCGAAAAGACCAAAATGGCGATTGCCTTGGCAACAGATACTGTTAAGCCAATCGCCTTGTGAGGTTTTAGTTTTTTGTTCGTCTGCATGTTAGTCCTTGTTCGCATCCTGCTAGCAGACCGTAAAGGCAATGACACTGCTTTCCAAGGATCCAGTGACTAATCGTCCCTTAGGCCCGAGAAGATGGAGTGGCGCCACCTGACGGCTCCTTGTCGTGACGTAGAGACAAGATCACGTGACCGCTTGTACGCTTCGTTGGTAACATGTATGTTGAGGTGCATCGTTACCAATTCATGTTTAATTTGCTCTTTTGAACGAGAGTTCAGGGTTACTCTTGACCAAATTTGTTCGTTGTACCTCTCGTCAAAATTAAACTCAAGCAGCGCGACAACAGTGGCGTCGCGGCATACGGAACAAGAGTCACCCAGTGACTCTAGGGTCATATAGTGACCCAACTGACCCAGCTTCGTGTTATCGTACTGACCACGATCAAGCTGGTCGTCGTCGTAGCTCTGGAGACATGTCAAGTGATCAAAGAGGTAGATTCTGAAACAGCATAAGTCCCAAACCGTCTTTTTTTAAATTTTGTTGGGAACAGACAGAGCAAACAGAAATCAATCGCAAGGACGGCCGAGTAGCCGTCGAACTTGGCATTTTGATCACCAGTTTTTTTCGCAACTGGCTCTCGCGGCTTTGAGGCTGCAGTGACCCGTGAAAGCTAATCGAGTGTGTTCAAATATCACGCACGCGCGGCATCACCATGGAATTACCTTCTGCGGCAACGTTTAGGGCTCGATACTGACGTGACGTTCAGCAAAGGAAGTGCTGATGCGGTATCG